ATTAAAATCATTACAAATTCAGATAATTAAGAATTTAAAGACATTTTTTTTGTATACTCACTTGATTTGCTTGGGTTCAATTTCTGAGTATGTGAAGCCAGCATGTGGGAAATTGAACACAATGCGATCAAATAACTCATTGCGCAAAAGAGGATGTTGGCTCATCGTTCTTACATTCACTCCATGCATCACAATGCAACCTTCCTCCTCCAACTCTTCCAAAGTCGTCTCGATTTCGTCCCCGTACTTCCTCAAAAGTGTCTCTTATAACATAAATAGCGTCAAGTAAATATGTTAGCGTAATCGTAAAGTTTATGATATACTAAATTTATGTTAGGTAGTGAAATTCTTTCGTTGAAATACTTTTGGAGTCGAGGGACGTGGCGACGATGTTGTCACCCGAGCCGAGGGCGGTGGCTAAGCAAACCGAGAAGGAGAAGTTGCCCTCTCCAACGAGAAGTATTTTGTGGGAGCTATTGTAGTGCATTACCCATTTCTTTTTTCTACTCTTGGACCTTCCCATTTTGATCATCTAATAATATGCCCATTTTACTCAACATATATATATATATATATATATATATATATATATATATATATATTACAAGTTTTGATATATGAAAAGTCATTTGGGGAAGATGGAAGGGTTAATTATGCAAGTTTAAATCTAAAATTAAATGGTGTGGGACGATTCATGTGTTGTTTTGACTGATGAGGTTTTCTAAGGTTTTTATTATTGTTTGATGTTTTGGTCTCTGTGTCGGATGGATACAATGGATTTAATGTCAGCACCAAAAAATACCTTAAATCATATGCTTGATTTTCTTACGAATTAAAGTTGTTCGATCAGGTCTATTTTAATGTGTGTTATGTGTTGATGTGGGCATGTATTAATTTCGAGTGTATATATTAACATGTTGATGCGAGCATATATACTCTACAACTACATTAGGTTAGTTTTAAGTGAGTAATAAGTATGGCAAGCCGATGTGTTCAGATTATGCAAGTTTGAGAGCCCGTGATCATTTGAAATTGTTTCGCTTCGTCCATAGTTTTATTATTTTTGTTGGGTTTTCTTAGTACAACAAATTGTAGATGAGAGTTTGAACCTTCGACCTCAAGAGAAGTAGGTGCCAATTAATGCTAAAGTGTACAATCGAGTTTCGGAAGACATAGACATAAGAACCCGAGGATACCAAATCATCCACTAAGGAGTAAAATTTTTTTGTTTTATCTGAATCCACAAAAAGCATCCAAACCAAAAGCTTCTGTTTCTCCCTAATCTTAAGAATCTGAAGCTTAAGCCAAATCTAAAGCGGGAATAAACGATTCAATTAGCTAAAGCTAATATGGGGTCTATGTTCATGTTAAATCCGAGGCGCTGAGCTATGTTCATGTTAACCATCATTATATTCTTACTGGTTTAAAATTAGTCATCTTAATTAATTAATGTAATAGAATAACACACGTGATGTCCCAAATCTATTAGTGTAACTATGATATAAAATTTTATTACACTTCATATTTATTACATGCCTCATGTGACTCTACGAGTTTATCTTTAATCTATAGTATGCATAAAAGCTACTGTAGGGAACATTTTTCTCTTTCTATTTTGTCTTTATAATTTAATCATTTTCATTCTTTTTAATTTAATCATTTTCATTATTATTATAGTAACAATTTTGCCGTTTTGAAACAAATAATAATAATTTGCCGTTAGCCACAAATTATTCTCTCCCCCATGCCACTTCCTCCTTACCAATTTTACTTTTCTCTTTTTAAAACCCTCACTCTTAATTTTAATTTCTTATTGGCTATTTCCTTTCTCAAGCCTCGCAATTTCTTACTCAAATTATCATTTATTTAAGTTTATTTATTATTTACATAATTTTTTAGTTTTTAGTATAACATGTGGGAGTGAGAGATCAAATTTGCAATATCTTGATTGGAGATATATGTCAATTACATCTATCGCTTCGATTTTTATTTATTATTTACATAATTAAATCACTCAAATAAACTTATATTGTATCAAATAACTATAAAGAAATAAATAGATTTTGAACCTTAATTATTCCAACAGTACTAATTCCATTGAATAATTTTCTCACTGCATCATATTCTTGTGTACCTTTCACTTCCATAACCAAGGTTGAACAACATTATCAACAAGACCGTGTAATTGCCAAAGCGATTATAAGTGTAATTTCACTTCCATAACCGACAACACTACCATTAAACATGACTTCAAATTTACCTACTCTAAATAATGTGCTTAATCTTAAAAATAATAAATAAAAGTAGAGTAGTTTTAAAACTAATTCTTAAAGTAATTAAGAAAAGATACATGAATGGTGGAAAATGTGCGCGATTTTCATGCTGACTAATCATCCATCTATTGCATAGCAACCACGTGTTCTTGTCTCCTCTCTCCACGAGCCTTCATTTTAATTTTTGGTTAATTCATTTGCATAATTGAGAAATAAAAAATTAAATTACGTAAATTGAGGAAAAATTAAGATGATGGTTCGTCTTCTAAAAAAATAAAATAAAATAAAATAGATATGAGAGAGAAGCACTTGCGATCTCCGCCTTCATCAAATAAATTACCTTAAAATCTGGATTTTGATAATAGATTCTAAAAAATAGATTAAAAAGAAAAAACTAACAAAAACTCGAATGATTTTGTTTAACGTGTCTAAATTAATATTAATAATTTATTAGAAGATTTTATTGAGCATTACTAGAATTATTATTATTATTTTTGGAGATAAAAGACTTGTAATCTATTAAATATTAACTGTAGGGATTAAATAAATATTAATCAAGAAATAACTGTCAAAGCGAGTCAGACAAATATCTCCAACCAAGAAGAAAAAGGTCAAAAAGTAACTAAGACGACAAAAAAAATCAATATGAAAGAAAATCAAAATCTTTAACGATATTAAATTACCTAAAACCATGAGATAGATTCTCTATTAACCATTAGATAGATTCTCTACATGATGTAGACACCACAACCACAGAAGAACCATAGTGTATTGGGAATCGGCATAGTATATTAGAAGACCATAACCACAAGATCATTTATATACCTATTAAATAGTCCAAATATAATTACTCTTTAATTTATTACCCACATATAAATTAATTATTAAATTAATCCTAACTTATTAATTCAATCCAATCTCATGCTCTTGTAACTCACAAGGTTGAGGCTAATGAATCGGATATCTCATGTCTGACTCTTCTCTTTATTGATTTTTTTTATTTCTTTTTTATCTACAAATATATATTATATAAAAAAAATAGATTTTGGAAATTGGAAAAGTTGGAACATAATCAAAAGTGATTGCGTGGTTGGTTGAAATTAGTAGTGCACTTCAGAGTCCACAGATTAGGTGAATCTACCAGTTGCTAATTCCATGGATTAGACGCCATGTGCCCCTCTTTTTTAATTGCACCAATTTCAGGGCCCCATCCCCCGTTACCTTTCCTATGACATGATGTGAAGGCTAGATAATATATACCTTATAACAAGGTCCAGAGTCGAGGGATATTAAAAGAATTTTATATTAAATTTACTGGAACATTCGAACTTAAACCTAAAAATCAGTATGATCAAGAAACTTGCAAACAGAACGGTAAAAAAGTAGTTACTCATTTTGATATAAAGTTAATTGGATGAATTCAAAAATCTATAGAGAAAGATGTTCACTTTGTAATATTAAAGCATCCATAAAAGTTGGTTAGAGTCTAAATATTTGGAAAATGTCTTCTTCTAACAAATTGAAGAACATCTCTCAAAATAAGAGTAAAGAAATTCACTTATCACTACTTCAATTAACAAAGACATAGTTTATTTCTTATTTCTAAGCAACGTTAATCCCCACATCACAAGTTATTTGGTTGAAGAATTATTTCAAGACTCGATGACAGTTGATTCTAACACAATCTATTAAATTTTGAGCATCGGAAGGCTATTCTACCCCACACGTGTACTAATATTTTTAATGTTAAAAATTGACTGCTACAAGTTTAGAGTTGAACTAAACATCCTAACTCTCTTAAATTCTATCCTACCAATAAGGCACTCTGAACCCATAAATAAGTACCCATCCCAGCTAACAAAGCAGAGACAATGACATAATTATTGGAGTTTTCCCTCTCCTATTTCCCTGTGGGCCTCATCATAATAAGATCATAAATAGTTGAATGATGAGAAGACACGTACAGAAAATGATAAGAACACTGACCTTCAAAGATGAGCTCACATGGGCCAGCCATCCAAAATTTAAAAATTTTTTGAAATGGAAGCCATTGGTTTTGGAGGTTGCTTCTGATATTGGGAACTTGGGATTCTTTCAGCTTAACTAGATTCCTTGGGATTCCTGTTGTATGCCCCACTTTCAGTTTCTGATACCTTTCTTCTTCATCCACGATTAATATGGCTTTCTCCTGCTTTTGATTTTATCTAAACAAACCCATCACTGTGATTACAATTTGCATCAGATATGCTGCCTTTCTTTCCTGAAAAGGAAAGTCCGATGTCAACTATCGTCAAATGAGTCAGAATGGTTATATTCACCTTCCTCAGATAAATCTATGGTTTCTTGTTTTTTGTTTCTAATTTTATTAAAAATTCTAAGTATTTGACAATTATTTATGTTTTTTTTCCTTATTTTTTAGAAAACATTCTCAAAAATTGTATAAAAATTTTAGAAGTAACTAAAATGAGTTATGTTTCAATATATTCCAACATAAATCAAAACCTAGTTTTATCCTCCTTCAATTTATGGATGCAGAGCCATGCAATTTCTTTTTAATACTAAAATAGAATTGCATGGCTCCTACATCCATGGACCGAAGAATGATAAAACAAGATTTTAATTCTACTTTAGAAGTGGAACAAATTGAAAACGAGAATAAGAAACAATAAATCAGTTTTTTTGTCGTTTCCAAAAGTTTTATACTATGTTTTTAAAAATATTAGAAATAAGAAGCATAAATAATTATCAAATGCTTAGATTTCTTAATAGAATTGAAAAAAACAAAACAAGAAAAGAAACATTACCAAATGAGCCATAATTTACTTTAATGTTTCTTTTTTCTTGTTTGCTCTCTAAAATTTTAGATTTTAAATTAAAAACAGTAAAAATTTTATATGAAATTTAAATTTTCAAATTGAATATTCAAAACTTTTATATTATATTTTTTATTTTTTAGTAAGATTTTTTCTATATATATATTTTTTTTATTAAATATTATGTACTTTTAAAATTTTGATAACATAATGCTTTATCTATCTTTTAGAAAAAAAATATCATAGATAAAAATATTGAAAAGATGAATTAAGAACTTTTAATTTTGTTGTTTTCAAAATTTTACGCGATCTTAAAAATGGTTTTTTTTCTAAATAAGCAATAAGACAAGAACAATTATCAAATCTTTACGTTTCTAACGAATTATAAACGTGAAACAAAAAAAACACAAAAAACAAAAAACAAGAACCTCAGGCCTACCTACCTCTAACTTTTTATGTGTTACTAATTTGAACTTAGTCAAATTGGTCAAAATTCTAAAGTTCTAATAATAGATTTGGATCTTCGTTCTAATATTGTAAAAAAAATAATTATGAGGTATTTCTTTTTCTTTTTTTTTTTCTTTTTTTAGTCCATCTCTCAGAATTAGAAATTATTCCCGGAAAAAATGAGAGAATCTTATCCCCTAAAAAATCTCTTTAATCTTATTATCTTTCCCTATTTTGTGTGGACCTCACAACCTACTATATAATCATTTGACACTTTCACCCTATCTCTTCCACTCTACCCATAGTAATTAAATAACATAACAATGAAATCAAATAATGTTCTCTCCAAATAATTGTTCTATTTAAATAAATTTCTAACATCTTTAGTTAGTACATTTTTAATTGATTAAAACTATAAAAGGGGTATTATGATAATTAGTTGTAATAATTATTATATCTGATTGATTTTACTAATTCAAGTAGACAATATGAATAGTTATCTGACTCCAATTCTAAACAATTCCAATCAAAAGAATATCATTATCATTCCTAATATTTACCTCTATTTTTATTAAATAAATGGAGGCTATAAAGCAGGGTCAAAGGTCCTACTAATTTAAATTTTACTACTAAAGTATGAATGCCCTCCATTCCTCTGTAACTTTTGGGAAAAAAATTAAATGTTTAAATATTGAAAAAGAAAAAGGGAATTTTTTTTAGAATTCCTTTTCCTTTTCTTGTGGAAAGCATAGAGGAAGGGGGGAAGAGTAAGCTAATCTAATCTTAATCCAAATGTACCCAATCCAAAGTCATTCCAGAATTAGAACCCTAATTCTCAAAATAATTAGTTAATTCAATTACTAATCAGCCATCAACTCATAAATGGATTCCGCATGGTAAATACTGATTAGAATATTTTCTACAACAGCATGGCTTTAATTGTGGCCTTTCCAAGAGAGCATCATTGGCCTCCAGAAAAGGACACAAAGAAGATAAATATAATTTCAGGAAAAGAAAATAAAAAAGATTACATACCTCCATACTGGGGTCCATGAAAGCAGAATGGGCCTTTTTTTCTCCTTCTTGTGTTTCCTTGATTCACCAACAATGGACTCCTCCTGTTTGAAATTACGAATAAATCCCAGCAAAGAATGAAGGAGATACCTTGCTTTGAAGGAGCGAACACCACGCTTCCAAGCCAAATACTGAAATAAAATTGACATTAAATTGTGGGAAATAAAACCCAAAGGGGAAAAAGAGAGACCAATAAATGATCCATAGCATACCGTGGCATTTAAGTGCAGTTAAAGCGAACAAAACAGCCATTTTCAAACCCATTTCTTCTCCCAACGAAACAACAAAAACCCTTCAACATCAATGGCGTAAAGCATCGCCAACATCTTGGCGTGTCGGGTACCACTCAAATGCAATAAATACACGAAAAATCAATACTTTTTGTTTGATCATCATAGTTTCTTATACCTTAATCAGTGAGCAGTGCAGAGAGGAAGAGAAAAATAGAGAGAGATTATTGGTGTTTTCAATTTCAGGTTCTGCTGTGCATACGTTTATGAGTAACACCTGTAGAATTCGGCAACCTGGGAAAGCCCGGAGAGCACTTCCTGGACGGCATCTTCGGTTGCATCAATGAAATCACAGCAGCCCTCGCGTTCGCTAGGATGAGCGATTCAGCATATACAGTACAAACCACATCCCGTCTCGCCCAATGGAGGATCGAAAATCTAGCTTCCTGCACATACAGAAAATCAGATCCTTTCAAAATCGGCAACTGGAATTGGTAAAATTACTCTTTCCATTCTTGTTTAAACCTACCCATATGTTCTCCCCTTTTTTTTATTGGGGATGTTGTATGCTTTTTCTGGCCAAAAAAGGAAATTTAGATTACTAATTGTCTTGTTTGGATTGAAGGCATTTATCAGTGGAAAAAAACAGACTTTTATATGTTAAATTATACCCAGAGATATCAAGCATAACAAGAGATAATCCTCCGATTGTATCTTTCACCATCCGAGTGGTCTGCTCTGCAGGAGATAGGAAGGCCTTGACTCATCCAGGTAATTTCATCCTCGTTTCCTGTACATTTTCAAGGCAGAGCAATTAGTTTTCTTCAAGTTCTAAATCATGAATATGAGTTGAAATACTTTAGATCCAATAGAATCCCAAATAAATTTTGATTGATTGATTGATTGGGCTTCTATTTCTTATTCTTTTGGCCTCGCCCTTTTGTGTGTGAGTTGGGGGGAGGGGGTCTTAATTTCCATCTTTTCTCGATGATCTAGCTTCAGTTCCTCTACATCCATGCAGAAATAATAGACAAACAGCTTAAAAACAACGACGACTTTATTTGGCCAATTGAGGTTCCATTAACAGGAAAGTTCATCATCGACGTCGAGTTCCTTGACTTGAAGATTGCATCACCCGAGGTAAGCATTTCTATTGGGTTGCATGTTTCTTTAGAAAAAACAAGCCACTTACAGGAGAGCAGTTGACAAAAGATGTTCCTGAATGAATACTAAGAAAACATAGTTATCAACACCTATGTCAAAGAAAGAACAATCTGGTCTGGCTACCTTTTCTGACTCCTCTTTTAACTAATTGTTGCCAAATTACTTAACAGGGTGGGGAACCTTCCTCCATCTGGGCTAATGGATCGACTCAAAAACGATCGAATTCAAGAGCTCTTATTGCATTGGGTCGAATGTTGAAGGAAAGCGTCCACACAGATATCATGATTAATGCTTCTGATGGGAGCGTCGGAGCCCATCGTGCTATTCTTGCTTCAAGATCACCTGTTTTTCACAGCATGTTTTCACATGACCTGAGAGAAAAGGAGTTATCTACCATAAACATCTCTGATATGTCTTTCGAAGCTTGCCAGGCTTTTCTTAATTATATGTATGGGAATATCCAACATGAAGAGTTTCTCGCCCATAGACTGGCACTTCTTAGTGCAGCTGATAAATATGACATAGCTGACCTAAAAGAGGCCTGCCATGATAGTCTTATAGAGGATATCGATGCCAAAAATGTTCTTGAAAGACTCCAAAACGCATCTCTGTATCAATTGCCAAAACTGAAGACCAGGTGCATGCAGTATCTTGTGAAGTTCGGTAAGATACTCGACATCCGAGATGAATTCGATGTCTTTCTGCAGAATGCAGACAGGGATCTAATAGCTGATATCTTCCATGAAGTTCTTAATGCTTGGAAAGGTTTCTAAGTTGATGTTGGTGTGTTTACGGTGTACACATAAGAAGATTGTTTACAAGGATTTTAGTGCCAGCCAGAATTTATTACCTTGAAGGTGATTCTTTCTCCAAAGAATTTGTTTGTCCTGAAATTAGTCAAGTTTGTCATGACAGATGAAGGTGTTATGAATACAAATACAATTGAATGAAATGTAAATAATTTGATGTTCTGGGTTAAGAATTTTGTTCTTACATTGTTTTGCAGTTTTCCTTCACAAGATCTCACAGTACTCTGATATTCGTAATGCACGAGAAACTGATAGAATCAAAAACAATATTGCAGTGTGTTACGACCGTACTTGAATGTTAACTCCCTTAACCATAAAAGACAATATGATACATAAGTTATATTATGGAATCAGCGTTTGAATAGCGGAACTCTAGTTTAACAATGTAACAAGAAGCAAGACTCATCATACAGAAACAAAAATGATTAGCGTCAATACACTTTTGGGTTTCCAGAATCAGAGAAGAATTTACATCAACCTACCTTAAAAATAGTTACCGCATCAATCCAATCCAGTAAGATAAAAATAAAGAGGTCAATAAAACCTCCAATGTTCGTTCCCCCTCCAAGTGCCAACGCACAAATTTGAAAAACCTCCAAAAACTGCAGGCAAACAGCATAGGAAACACTTCTTAAATTGGCACTCTAATAGTGAACATAGCGAGAAAATGCATCGAGAGCAGAAGAAATGTATTTCTTCGAACTACAATTATGCTTGAACACCAGCATATTCCATTCATCTGGATTGTAATCATGGCATTCTTATCGTGAACGTAGCGTGAAAAGGCAATGAGGAGCAGAAGAAATCTAAGAAAAGTTTGAGCCATGATCAAGACTCCCAATCCACATATCAATCACCTGATTCAATACTCAAAGAAAAGCAAATGCTCTAAGGTAGAATTTCACACGGACTCCATCCGCTCAGTACTGAACACAACTTCCTAGCACATTATGATTCAAGAAACCAATAGTGAACAAGAACAATCATCTCGAACTTCAAAAAGTTTCTTACACAAAAAGTATATGGATAGCAATACATAAGAAACGTATTCCTCTAGACTACAATTATGTTTGAAACACCAGCATATTCTATTCATCCGGATTATAATCACGGCACTCTAATCGTGAATGTACCGAGAAGATGCAATTAAACCAGAAGAAATCTAAGGAAATTTTAAGCAATTAACTTAAAAGCTTCCAAGTTTGAGCCATGAACATAAGGACTTCCAATCCACAAATCAATCACCTGATAGAATTTCACACGGACTCCATCGGCTCAGAACTGAGCAAAACTTCCTAGCACATTATGATTCAAGAAACCAATACTGAACAAGAACAATCATCTCGACTACAAAAAGTATACCAATAGCAACTCAGCGAACAGAAGATTACCGATGTAAATCCATCCATTATTCTGATGAAAGACCAGTTGAATCACTCCGAAAAGTTTCCATCTCCGGCGGATTGAGAGACTGAGAATTGGAAATTCGGAGAGGAAGGAGATCGGAAAGTGAAGGGAGAGGACAGAGTGAGAATAATGGAGGGAATATTGTTGGAATCTTCATGTCTATGCTTTTTTTTTTCAATTAAATCCTTTGGGTGGGAATTTTAAGCGGAGGACTTCACGTGCCATAAATTTCTATAAAAAATAATAATAAATAAATTTGAAAATTTTGCGATAGTTTTATTTTTCCAAAATATTTACAAAGTAATTATAAATATATAATTAATAGATTTTTCAAAATTTTATTATTTTTATGTCTTAACTAATTGAGCTACGTCCTTGATTGACTTGAATATTGTTTAAATATAAAAATAAATTATGTAGACTTTGTTAGCACGATTCGACTAGGTCACATAAGCAATATGCTAGTGTTGAAGTATTGATAACTAATATAGATAACTAATGCTAAAGTTCCTCGGTAAAAACACATTAGCCTGTGCAAATTACAACATACTCAACGTGCATTTGACATATTTTCCAAAATGCTTATAGATGATAAAATATTTTGACCAATTAAAATTACTTATTAAAATTTTCCATAAGCACAAGTTGTTTAAAAATCTCTAAAAACGTCAGAAAAAGAACAGTTAAAAATGCTATAGATGAAGCATCTAACTAATTTTTTTAGAAAGTTATATAGAAGAATTGAATAGCCATAGGTACTTAATAATTTGATCCCTACTTGAATGTTTTTTTTTTTACCTGAAGAAAAAAAAATCCTTTCTAAGATACTCATTAAAGAAAGAAGACGAAAATAAAAGTTAAGTTTGAATTATCCATTCTCACATCAATAATGTTTGAGCTTTTGGTTTGACATAAATATTGTTTGAATACAAGTTCAAAATCTGAATAGCAGAAAGCAGAAGCAGATGAATGTTTGTGGATTAAATTGAAAATTGAAATATCTAAAACATATAATCCACAAAGAAATGGGTTCCAAACATTCTGTATTCTGATTATTCAACCAAAAAGAAACCCAGCTGCCTGCTCTTCATTACCATCGAATAGTTTGAGAGCTTGTATTACAGCCTCTCTTTGGAATCCCAACTCGACGAGCTTCGCTACTTTGGCCTCAAAATCGGGACCCTGTCATCACAATATCAAACACAAGTTCGAAGGTCAATTTTCTATTCAGTTATAAATTTGGTCCTCAACTTTGATGCCTATCTGTCTATTTATTTCTTAAACTTCAAAATTGTGAACTTTGAATCATAATTCCATGTAGCCTTTAGCGTTAACACCATTGATTGACTAAATGACGACATGGCATATCTATTGGAAAAACTTCGGTTGATTTAGAACAACACAATAAACATGTGGTAGAAGGAAGAGGAGTAAGCTACATAAAACGAAAAAAGTAGCATAAGTCTCGGCGCCTACGCCACCTTATTTTATCTAGCTGGACCACCTATTTCTGCCATTTGTCTAATACATCGTGTCAGCATTTGGTCAAACTCAAACATAGAAGCTACCAAAAATCATAATTCAAAATTCAGAAATATAACTAAAAATATTTAATGTTTAGAGAATAAATAGACAACCATCCAAATTTGCGGACTGAATTTGTAATTTGATCTAAATCTTCGTGATAAAATTACCTGAACCGCTCCCCCGACGTTTCCTGCTTTTAAGACAGTAAAAGAAAAAGAAAATTAGAGGTAAAGTTTTAATAATGAACACGTCATTTTTCAGACATGAACACACAAAGCCTCAGAAGTTTACAAAGAATAGCAGCGGAGATGAACCTTAGAAAGTGCAGTTATGAGAGAATAGCTATATTATGATAAGCATCTTCTTGGATATCCAAAACCCAAAAAAGAGATTTTGAATCCAAGACCACTTTGATTATAACCGATATTTAACATTAAGATACTACCAAAGCTATCAAGACAATGACTTTAATTGATCACAGAACAGAGAGAAGTAAACTGTATCACCTGTGGGCTGCCCAGCTCTTGCATTCCTGCTGTTATCTGTTGGGGCTGAAGCCACCTGGAAATAGCAAGTGATAAAATGGACGGTTAAGAAAGATAGACTGATGCGAGACCTTTTTTTTTTTTTGGGTATGAAACAAATATTTCAGTGATAGTATGAAATATACAAAAGGCCCCGAAGGCAATTACAAGAGAGCTCTCCAACTTGTAATATGATGCAAGACACATTTAAACTCTTCTTGCGACTTTAGAACATCTTTGAAGGATCATTTCCCAGATTTAAAGCTGCTTTTTCCTGAAAGCTTAATATCCCACTCCAAAAGATTTCAAATCAATCAATTATTGTCTCTCTTTTCATTTTTGTTTTTCTTTTCTCCATTTCTTACAGAACGGAACGATAAATCCGTGGGGAAGATGAGTGACATTCGGTCCACCGAACTACATATTGTATTAACAATACCAAATTCAATACATATCAATGCATATTAATAATTATATTAGTATACATTAATATTATATGAACCGTTGTCATGATGATTGACTGGGATGGCAACTCACGACTCTGTAGCCTAGAGTAGAGTTTCTCATGGGAGGACTAGAGAGTAGGTATTTTTTGGGGTCTAGCAAAACCATTGGAGAGAAGAAGTATGTATCAAAACCATCAGCCCAAAGTTATAATATTCCATTAATCTTCTCTTGGGGTATCTGGTTTGAAGAAACTGAAGGATACCTCAAATTCTTTGGAAGATTTTTGGTACCTTGTTAGATATCACACTTTGCTACAGTATTGGGTATCATGTCCAAACGATTCTGTATTATGAGCCCCTTAGTGTAAGTTCCATTTACCTTCTGGGTGATGCCTTATCCCATCTTTTTGTATTCTTCTCCTTTAATGATATTTTGTTTTGTTTTATTTCATCTCAAGAAAAAACAAAGTAATCAATAACAATTTAAATCTCATTCCAACTCTAAATGCTCACTCCAAAAACCAAAAAATATCTAAGTGCAAAACCTGTACCCCTGGTCTGTACATATATCAGTTTGTAATGAACTTTGTCAATCATGATATAATGGATCATCCATAAATCCAGGCTCATAAATTTCTTTGTAGAATTAAAATGGTGAAATGACAGACTACAAACTTCTAATCAAATTACTTGAAAATGCACATATAAGAAATTTAGTAAGAGAATAATGTAGAAGAACTCACTGGGGCTCCAGAGCTAGAGGCTTCCTTGGAGAGCCTTTCCTCATCAAAGAGAGAAGGGGGAAGATCTTTCTCTGAACATAAATTTTTAACACGAGAGGAAGCTTCAGCATACTAAAAAAATGTGTGGTGGTGGGGGAAGAGATCGAATTTGACAGAAATCAGAAAGGCCAACCTTGCAAAAAGGGTACAGAAACCTCTCCTCCACCAACTCTCAAAACACTCTCCTTCAAATCTATAATGCACTGTCAGGAAAGTAGCTATGTTAAAAAAAAACAAAAAAACTAGGAAAGATATCTGTTCAACAACAATTCAACCATGAGTTTCAAGTCCAATACAGCTTAGAATGCTACCTGGTGTTTCCGTAGCATATCCAAACCAAACAGGAAGTCCATATTTGGAGAATCCAGTACCATAAATGAGCAGGGGTAGAATATATTACCAATCTGAAAAAGGTGACCGGTGAAGATGTTAAATTATTTAGCCAAGCACAAAGAAAATGAAGAAATGATACTCATGATAATAT